CTCAACTTAATTCCCTCCTAGCTTTTTCGAAATAAGACTCGAACTAACTTGCAGGATAGCTCTTCTGGGATTCTCCATAGCTATACACAGAACTTTCAAGTTTATTTCTCCTGTTATGGAATTAATTAGGTACTTAATTTTTCAATATCTATATCCCGGATCGACGTTCGCACAAACCTTTAAATAGATTCTTATACTTAGACCGAGATCCTCATACTGTCGTGCCGATAGGCCAATTAAGTCTAAGATGTAAAATCTTGTTTAATTTTTTTTTTGTATCATCCTACATTATAATAAATTATTATTTAATATAACTAGAGTAAGTATTTCATTCAAGTCATTAATAATCTACGAAAATTTACTGATTAAAGAGAGATTATTAAAAACAGTATCAAGATAATCTGATAATAAAACATACTTTCAAACCTCTAAACTTTCCAGACTTAATATAATTATTAAAAATCTTTAATTATTTTTCAAGATGTGAAAATAATTCTTTTATAAATTGTTTGTTTAGAATTAAGTTAATTATTTTCTTTCACTATTGAAAATTATACTTTTTTATTCTTACTTGGCTTTTCAGGCTTTGCTGAAATTTTAATTTAATTAATTGTCACTCTTCAAACAAAAAAAAACCCTTTAATATTTTTTTTGGAATGATATTTTGAATTTACTTTATGTGTTTAGTTAAATTTTACAAATTTGATGAAATTATTAAAATATTTCTGATGATAGTTAAAGCCTTCTATACTCCTCAATTATAATCAATTTTTATCTCAAGATTCAATTTTGAAGAGCAATTCTCACTATTGATTCACTAAATAAGTAAAAAATTTAACAGGTATTTAAAAAAGCTTTCGCATTTAGAAATCCGCGATTTCAGAATTTCTAAATTGTAACCGACTTTCTTCCTTGATCTTAAAAAAGATTCTGAGAGCTATGAATTCAAGCAGATCATTTCGACTGTGTCTTGGATTTTATAAGAGAAATCTGCTTAAACATGCTTTTTTGATTTTCTCCAGTCTAACAAAATCTAAATTGTAAGTTTGATAAAGTTTGAATATTGATAACTACACTAATAGTACTCATCAATGAAGATCTACTTATTGAAAAATAAACGAATAGCTAATTAATTTAAAATTTAAACTTTTACTGTTACTCAGCATTGTGGTTTTTATAAAGGAACCAATTTTTAATGAATAATTTACCCTTCAATATCGCTGAACATCTGTTCTTCAATCAAAAGGTTTTCAAAAACTTAATTAACATTTGAATTTGTTAATAAATATTCATTTACACTTATACATAAAATATTTAAAAGTTTTATTTTAACGAATAAATATGGATCATTTAAAAAAAAATAATACTCTTTAATTTTTAATGCTAAAAATTTAGAGTAAGATTAAAAAAATTTTAAATATGATTTAAATATATAATGATGATATAGGAAGAGACTGAAAGATATTTTTAATATAAAAAAGTGATGGTTCATTCAATCAAATTTATATATTTTGATGATCCTTGATTTATCATAAAAATAACAAAATTTAGAGTTTGCTTTATTAAAATAATGGTTCATTATTCTTCAAATTAAAATAGAGATTTAAAAATTAAAATTATTTAGTACCTATTCAAAGGTTGCTTATAAAACTGCTTAAAAAATGGAATTTTGCAAATAATTTTCTAATTTGAGATCAAATGTATTTAATAAAAGACATAGTATGAATATTATATACAACAAGATAAACTCATTTCCAAAAGATGAAGAAATCATTTCGATTTCTATTAAAAATATTTTGGTTAAAGTAGATTTTACTCTTGTATGTCATGAATGAAATCAATTCACTTATCATGTTATAAAGTATTTGATTGTAATAATGGCTTGATTGAATAACTAACATACTTAGATTAATTTAAAAAAATTTCAATTGTTTACATTTAACATTTTGGAAAAGGTTCTCTTTTTTATTTTAATTGATAAATTAGAAAAGTTAGAAGAAAGGAAAAATCTTGTAATTAATAAAAGCTTAAATTAGGGTTTTTAGTATAAAATAGTTATTAATTTTCTCATAATTAAAAAAAAAATAAGAAGAGGTTGAGTAGGAGAAACTTTATTCTTCGATAGATAAAATTCAATAAATATTGATGAAAATGGGATAGTGAATTATTACCCATTAAAGGAAAGGAAGAAAATTGGACAAAATCAAAAATTCCATTTTAATTTAATTTCAATAATCAATAGGATCAATTTCATTGGTACAATTGGACCTCTTTTCAATCTATATAAACTAATGCTAACGATCATATTATGAAAACTGTCTTGCAAGTTTAAATAAATGGTGTCAAGAAAATTCTGGTTTTAGATATCTATTCATAAGAAATAATTTCTCAAAGAGCTTATTCTTAAACAATTTGCAGAGATAGAAAAAATCTGGGATTCACCAAAACATAAAGAATGTAAACAAAGATAGAGTTATTCTTCAAGTGTAATCAAATTTAAATTTGATCCAGTAGGTTTAAAAAAGTTACAGTGATTTAAAGATTATGATATTATTAAAAGCTATTCAATTGCCTTAATTCTGAAAGTAATTATTAAAATTTACCTGACCTAAACTTTATTCTTTAATTGGAGCTAATTTTGCTCGGTGTAATTTAAGCGGATCTGAATTTGATAATGTTAATATTAGTGGGATAAATTTAAATGGAGCTCTCTTATTTAATTGTAAATGGAACAACTTAAGAATTAGTGAAATAAACTAATTTAATGGTCATAAACGTTCAGTCAAGTCGGTCTGTTTTTCTTCAGCTGGTAATATATTAGCCTCTGGTAGTTAAGATTAGTCTATTCGTCTATGGGATATAAAAACAGGATAATAAATATCCAAATTAGATGGTCATATTGATGATATTAGATCAATTCGTTTCTCTCCCGATGGAAATACATTAGCATCTTGTAGTAATGATAAATATATCAGACTATGGGATGTTAAGACTAAGAAAAAAAAAGCCAGATTAGAGGGTCATACTAATGATATCAACGAAGTATGTTTCTCTCCTGATGGAAACACCTTAGCATCTGGTAGTCGAGATCGCTCTATCCGTCTATGGGATATTAAAACAGGACAATAAAAAGACAAAATAGATGGTCATGATCATTTTATTTACTCAGTAGGTTTCTCTCCTGATGGAAAGAACTTAGCATCTGGTAGTAGAGATCATTCTATCCGTTTATGGGATATTAAAACTGGACTATAAAAAGTAAAATTAAATCACACTCATTATGTTTACTCAGTCTGTTTCTCTCCTGATGGAAATACATTAGCATCTGGTTGTGGTGATAATTCTATCCTGCTATGGAACATAAAATTAGGATAATAAAAAGCCAAGTTTAATGGTCATACTCATTTTGTTTATTCAGTCTGTTTCTCTCCTGATGGAAATTTATTAGCATCTGGTAGTTATGATAAATCTATCCGTGTATGGGATATTAAAACAGGATAATAAAAAGTCAAATTAGATGGTCATACTAATGATATCAACTAAGTATGTTTCTCTCCTGATGGAAACACCTTAGCATCTGGTAGTAGTGATTATTCTATCCGTTTATGGGATATAAAAATAGGATAATAAAAAGCCAAATTGGTTGGTCATTGTGGTACTGTAAACTCAGGATGTTTCTCTCCAGATGGAAGTACTTTAGCATCTGGTAGTACAGATAATTCTATCTGTTTATGGGATATTAAAACAGGATAATAAAAAGCCAAATTGGTTGGTCATTGTGGTACTGTAAACTCAGCCTGTTTCTCTCCTGACGGAAGTACATTGGCATCTGGTAGTAGCGATACTTCTATCTGTTTATGGGATATTAAAACAGAATAATTAAAAGCCAAATTAGATGGTCATACTCATTATGTCTATTCAGTTTGTTTCTCTCCTGATGGAAGTACATTAGCATCTGGTAGTAGAGATAATTCTATCCGTTTGTGGGATGTAAAAACAGAATAGGAAAAAGCCAAATTAGATGGTCATACTCATAATGTCTATTCAGTTTGTTTCTCTCCTGATGGAAATGCATTGGCATCTAGTAGTGGTGATTGTTCTATCCGTATATGGGATCTAAAAATAGAATAGGAAAAATTGAAATTAGATGGTCATACTAGCATTGTCTACTCCATTTGTTTCTCTCATGAAGGAAATTTATTAGCATCTGGTAGTAGCGATAAGTCTATCCGTTTTTGGGATGTAGAAACAGGATAGGAAAAAGCCAAATTAGATGGTCATACTCATTATGTCTATTCAGTTTGTTTCTCTCCTGATGGAAGTACATTAGCATCTGGTAGTAGAGATAATTCTATCCGTTTGTGGGATGTAAAAACAGAATAGGAAAAAGCCAAATTAGATGGTCATACTCATTTTTTTTATTCAGTCTGTTTCTCTCCTGATGGAAATACAATGGCATCTAGTAGTGGTGATTGTTCTATCCGTTTTTGGGAAATAAAACCAGGATAACAATTTCAGTCTTTAGATAAAAATTGCAAAGATGGTTTAATATAATTGTAAACCTCACTCTTTTAAAATAATCCTCTTTCATAAGGTAGTTTTACTCTATTTCATATTTTTAGTATCCAATTATATTTCTACTCTTCTTATATCTTAATCCGTAATATTTTAAGCGAAAGGAGCGATAGTTTTAAAAGGAGAATTCCTTAATTATTAAGGCGTTGATTTATGTTAATTATTAAAAGTAAAAGGTAGTTGTATTTTGGAAAAATAATCTGAATGCAATTGGAAGTGAAAAAAAAATTTATTTTTTAATTTTTTTCCAAATATCAAATATAACCTATTTCCCAAAGCATTTTTCTTTTTAATGATTATCTTTACAATTTCTACATTATATATTTATTATATGATTAATTTTTCAAAGAAAATAAGATATTCTAAATCTATTAATTTTTTAGTATTAAGTATTATGCATGTTTGTGTTTTTGCAATACTGTTTATCATCTTATTAGAAGTTTAAATTATGTGAAATATAAAAAAAGATGTCCATTTCTTATTAGATTATTGTAAAATGTTAAATTTATAAAAAAAATATATAAAAATATTCAAAATTTTTAAAACTCTAAATAAAGAAAAAATCAACTCTTAATTTAAAAAGTTGAAAACCCATAGAATATAATCAAAAATTATAATCTTAAAAAAAAATGTTTAACTAAAATTCCTAACTATTCCTTGATGAAACCTCTAATAATGTTTATTCTAATGCCGCTATAATCAACCTAATGAGATCCATCTAATGTAGTTTAATATCCTTCTTAGTGCTAGATCACTTTATTATTTAAAATTCCTTTAAAGTTTTCATTAAAACGCTTAGAAAAATTAAGGCACTGGAAGGAGGGATAAGTTATACAGAACGATGACAATAGATAGATGAGCAGAAAGTTAGATTTACCTAGAAGAAGAAGGCCCTAATGAAAAAGAAAAAAATATTGTGAATAATAGGAAAATTAAGGTTTTAATAAATTCCTATTTCTCCACCTATGATTACCTAAGGTTAGCTTAGATATCCTGAGTAATCTAAAAAAGAAGTAATAAACTTAACTATTTAATTGTAAATGGAAGAATTTGAAAACCCAAGAATTGAATAAGTTGAATCCTCATAGTGATGTTTTTAGATCTCTGTTTCTATCATGATTGTAATACATTAGCATCCTGTAGCAACCAATAAATGCTTCAAAGATATTCTTTCAATTAACAAATTATTTATTTAAAAGAAAAAAATAGTCAAATTTTAAAGAAATTAAATATAAGCATAATCATTTTAAAAAGGATTTTAGTTTTCTAAAACTTTGACTATTTCTTAATGAAAAAAATGATCTAATAATTGTGAATTAATAAATAATATTAGAATTCACTGAATCTAATATCATGAAGGGTTTTATAGATGACTTAAGAGGCAATTTTTGTGTCATAAATTTTGATGTACGAATAAGGATGGAAAAGAGCAAACTTTCATCTAAATGATCCATTTGTCAACCTTCTTTTTTAATAGGCAGCGGTACAAGAAGAATAGATGAAGTGATATTCAAATAAATAAAAATTTAAAAGAGGGTAATAAATAATTTATTTTTTGAACCTACATAAATTAAAAGTTAAGAAACCTGTAAATACAACAATATTTCAGAAAAATAATTCCTGTTATCTCATTTAAATTATATTAAGAGTATATTTATAATCAGATTTAAGGTATTATGATGTTATATTTTATTTAATTAACTAATTGAAATTATTTACATGTTACCTCTATATTGCCAATTTATGTATAAAATATGAAAAAACGAAGGAAGAAATGAATAATTATCTAGATTCAAACCTTAGATGTCTGATGTAGGTCAGTCTTCCGATTTCGGTCATATGTCCAATTATAAGATAAGTAGATGAAGTATGATCACTGAGTTTACTAAGTTCGATATTTGTAAAATACTTGTGGACTAAGGCAAAAAAAAGGATTCACAATGTTTAAATGGGTAACCCTGTTTATGGTTGGACTTAATATTACAGAGCAGCGAGTAATTTCCACCAGGTTGGCTCCTAAAGATTCAATAGATATGATTAGAATTTAGCACCCTTTAAAAATCCGTCATGATAAACTTCATTGTAAAATGTTGTAGATTTTTTAAAAAGGAATATTAAATTGGGCAGTTCGAACAAATATTCCTGATTAAATCAATAAACCTTGAATATGATGAAGTAATAAATGAAAAAAAATCCATGTCTGTTTTGATTTATATATATTTAAACAATAAGAATAATGTGTCAATATTAAATAAATAATTAACCTTTAGCACTTATGCTGATAGTATTTTATTGAAAGTTGGAATATAATATCAATGATTCTTAGTTTTGATTATGGCATTATACTATAAAGTAGAAATATTTTTGAAATAATCAAAGAAAAGATTAACTTGATACCGAGTTTATATCACTAATATTCAGTACTTGCATCATTCCTATTTCTATTAAAATGTAAATCCTTTTTTTACCTTTAAATATAGTTGCTTTATTGATTTTTTTATTATTTTTGAATTATCCTCAATCCTATCCTAAAACATAATGAAAAACATAATGAAGAGTTCAAGTGATAAAAAATCATATATTGATAAAAATAAATTATCATAACTCTTATGCTTGGCAAATCTTGAACTTGTGTTGATCATGACTTTAAACTTTTTCTTATCAAAAGAGTATCGATAAAAACTAGCCTTACCACCTTTTTATAGTATTATATCAAAATACTGATAATCATGGAGAAATATAGAAGTTTAAATTTGAATAGAAAATTTTGTTTTAGAAATAATATTATACATAGAAAAGCTATAGAAGATACAAAGAATTTAATTTAAGTTTATGATGAATTAAAATAGGCAATTCCTTCCTTAAGAATTCCTAAAAAAGAATAATATATGTATAAATTCGAAATTTGTGAAAATTTTTTCCTATCTTAATTTTCTCTTATCTGAATAATCCTTTATTTTTATTGATTTATGTTAGTTAAAATGGAAGAAAACCTCTTTACAATAACAATATTTTTAATAATTGGTGTTTTAACACACATCCATTTATAAAATAGAATTAAATTTTATGCTTCACTTATTTCATATGAAATTCTAGTTAATTCATATAAATCATCTTCACATTTAGCTAGTTTAATATTATCTTAACATAATTTTCCACTCTTCAATCATTGAAGAAAAAAATATTCTGAAATTCTTAAGAGCCCAAATAATATATAAACATTTTCAATATATATATAAGAGTTGTAATTTGATTCTTCTCTCTTAAGATTGCTAATGTTTAATTAGGTAAATGATCATGAAAATAAAGGAGAAAACAATAAATCAAGTTTTGTAAAGACGCACATGCTGAATACTTAAAAATTAATAATCTACAATTTATAATTTATGAATTTACAATATTTTATTAACTTAAAAAACATAATAGAATAATAAAAAAATGGATCACAAGAATTGACTTAGAAAAAGATAGTAGATAAAATAAAGTAATTTGATATTTGTAAATTATGACAACAAACAATCTATTTCACTTCTATTTTGATTCTAATTCGGTTTCAAAAATACAACTACCCTTTTGTTTAAATAATGTTCTTAAATCAATACCTGATTGATTTACAAATTCTCCATTCAAAATAAGAGCTCCTTATGCTTGAAATATCACCTATTGAGATATAAGGAGTATTGTAATATAGGTGGTGATGGCTAAACAATTAAAAAATTTATACTTGATAAAGTATTATTCTAAAATTTGTTGTGTTTGAATTATGTTAGAATGTCTTAATAACCTTTATCCAAGGATTCAATTTCTTACACAGTCTTAACATCCCATAAGCGGAAAGACTTATCATCACTACTAGATGCTAATATATTTTCACAAGGAGAGAAACAGACTTAGTTGATACAATTGCTATGACCATCTAATTTTGCTTTTTATTATCCTGTTTTTATATCCCATAGGCGGATAGACTTATCAAAACTACCAGAAGCTAAAGAAGTTCCATCAGGAGAGAAACAGACTGACATGACATAATCCGTATGACCTTCTAATTTGGCTTTTTATTATCCTGTTTCTACATCCCAAAGACGGACAGACTTATCATTACCACTAGATGCTAATGTATTTCCATCAGGAGAGAAACAGACTGATGTAACAGGTTCATCATGACCATCTAATTCAAATTTTTATTATTCTGTTACTACATCCCATAACCTGACAGAATTATCATAACTACCAGAAGCCAATCTAGTTCCATCAGGAGAGAGACATACTGACATGACCCAATTAGTATGACCATCCAATTTTGCTTTTTATAATCCTGTTTTTACATCCCATAAAATGATAGAGTTATCATCACTACCAGATACTAAAATATTGCCTTCAGGAGAAAAACAAACTGATCTTACATAATCAGTATGACCTTCTAATTTGGCTTTTTATTATCCTGTTTTCACATCCCAAAGACGGACAGACTTATCATTACTACCAGAAGCTAATGTATTTCCATCAGCAGAGAAACAAATTGATATAACAGGTTCATCATGACCGTCTAATTTGTTTTTTTGTTATCCTGTTCTTGTATCCCATTAAATTATTGATTTATCTTCACTACCAGATGCTAATGTATTACCATCAGGAGAGAAACAGACTGATCTCACATAATTACTATGGCCATCAAATTTGACTCTTTATTATCCTGTATTGATATCCCATAAACGGATAGAGTTATCTTCACTACCAGATGCTAAAGTATTTCCATCAGGTGAGAAACAGACAGATCTAACATCATTACTATGACCATCTAATTTGACTTTTTATTATCCTGTTTTAATATCCCATACACAGATAGATTTATCATTACTACCAGATGCTAATAAATTTCCATCATGAGAGAAACAGATTGATCTCACATAATCACTATGACCATCTAATTTAACTTTCAATTATCCTTCTTTAATATCCCATATAAAGATAGACTTATTCCAACTGTGTGATGCTAATGTATTTCCATCAGGAGAGAAACAGACCGATCTAATAGTATCACTAAGACCATTTAATTTTATTATTTATTATCCCGTTTTTACATCCCATAGACATATAGGGTTAGTCTTATCATTAGTACTAGAAACTAAAGTAGTACCATCAGGAGAAAAACAGATTGAAGTAACAGTTCCAAGAGGAACTTCAAATTTGACTTTTTTCTTTCTTGTCTTAACATCCCATAATTAGATAGACTTATCAATACTACTAGATGCTAAAGTATGACCATCAGGAGAAAAAAAGACAGATCTAACATCATTACTATGACCATTCAATTTGGCTGTTTATTACCCTGTTTTAACATCCCATAATCGGATAGAGTTATCATTACTACCAGATGCTAATGTATTTCCATCAGGAGAAAAACAGACTGACATGACAGTTCCTATATGGCCATCCAATTTGGCTGTTTATTACCCTGTTTTAACATCCCACAAACGGATAGAGTTATCATTACTAGCAGATGCTAACGAAGTTCCATCAGGAGAGAAACAGACTGAGTTGACTGGCTCAGTATGTCCATCTAATTAATTTAATTCCTGGATTCTTAAGTTGATCCATCTACAATTTATTAATAAAGCTCCATTCAAATTTACCCCACTCAGATTAACATTATTAAATTAAGATCCACTTAAATTACATCTAAAAAAATTAGCTCCCTTTAAAGAACAATTTTATATCTAAATATTTTGTAAGTTTTTGTTTCTTAGGTCTTCTTTCATCTAAATTAACACATTTAATGAATTAGACCCGCATTATATAAAAGAATCATCCATAGATGTGAGGTAAACTTAAAATTCCAAAAATTCTATGATCTATCTATTATGTTTTATGCTTTTTATTAAACCTTTTAACGTTTCTTAATTTTCATCAGTAGAGTAATCTTTGCTATTAAATTCATGATCTTTTATTTTTTTTAACACATAAGAAATTTAATTGATGCTATTTCTAACATTCTTACATTCCCGCTTTTTATCAGCTTTTGTGAAATTCACTTCTTGTTATAAGATGGATTTTTCTAACTAACTTTGATTTTTATTATCTGAAAGATATCGAATGCAATCTTAAACCTTCTCAATTCGAAATATTTCTAAAATGACCCAAAATATAGTTTCATCTATATCTTTAACTTAAGCAAAGATCTCAACTAGAGTTTCCTTCGACTATAAATTGCTCTACATTTTCTTTTTTTATTAAAATATTGAATTTATATTACTCTAACTTTAATTTATATACTGCAAATGAAAAAAAGTATCTTATGTATTTGTATACATTAGAAGTTCAGACTTTGTCTAGATATGATATTGATTGTCATATAGGTAAAATATACTTTTGAAAATGCAATTAGAAATTTGCATAGCTTAATTCTTTAATAATATAGAATAACTAATTATTAAATGAATAATTTTTAACTTATACTTAATTTGAGTTCTATTCTTGGTCTTGCATTTTCCTTATTTAAATATAAATAATGGTAATATTTCTTCTCAAAACTTTGAGATTGAAATAGGATTGAAGAAAATCTAGCTCACTCCAAAAAATATGTAATTATGTATTTTGTATTTTTTGGTGAAGGTAAAAACTTATAATATAATAAAAAAAATAGCTTCCAGAAAATTTTAATTATTTGTTCAGGTAATTCAATAGAATATGTAAAATTCCCTAATTTACACATAATCAACTACCATTCGAGTTTCCTTATATCTGAATTATTAGTTTATATAATGGATGTTTAAAATTAATAACATAAAAAGAGAGGGAATTTTAAACAACGATTAAGAAATTTAATAGATAAATAAATACTTTTTCCATTTGATTTTGATCATTTATTTGTATTAAATTGATAATAATAATAATTTGTAGTTGAAAAGAAAATGATTATTATTTTTGTTTAGGGATTAAAAACTTGAATATTATTGTATTAATTAACATCATACCCTTTCGATGATATTAGAGAAAAGGTAATATATTCTTGAAATCTCATTATTTTTATATTGATTATATGATTTGACTAAGTAATAACATAAGAAGAAGAGCAAAAATTTAATTTCAGGCGATCTACTGTAATTCTAATCATTATTCAAATTATACTTAATTTTTGCTCTACTACTCCCATGAATACGTTTCTTTTATTTACCTTTAGTGGAATAGAGGGCTTAGCTACCTCAATGTTCCCTGTTCCTGCTGAAATTGAGTGTATGGATGGCATTATAGAGAACTAAAAGTGAAGGTGATAGCCACACATATCATCACATCAAAATCAAGCATGACAGTTCAACGGAACAATACATATTAAAAAAATTCATAATTTTATAAAAAAAAATCAAAGGGAAATGGGATATTACAAAAAATGATCGGAAGCAATAGATGAAATAATATAATCTCTGGAAGAGATTTTATTCAATTAAAAATCACAAGAATTTGATTTTAAAACAACTTTAACGTTGAAAAATAAGGGATATTAGATTTTTTTAATTAAGAGAAATTATTAAGAAAGGTAAGCAGCATATCAATAAAAATAATAATAAAAATTAAAAATCAAATCTCATTCTAATTAAAAATTTGATACAATATAACAACATTCATTTTCCATTAAAGTGTAAAGTTTATGATGATCCTGATGGATATTTATAGAATAAAGCTTAATTATTTATACTCAAAAAATCATATAGATAGTTTGTTATATTTCATGCTGACTTAATTAAATTAAATAACATTTATCTAGATGTGAAAATAAAAATAAATTAATAGATACTTTATTAAATAAAAATAATAAATTATTATTTGTTAATTTATTGTTTCTTTCATCTATATATTTAAGATCTATTAAACTATTAAAAACTCTACATTTCTTTTCTCCACACTA